ACAGCCATCATTGCAAAAGAAAAAAAATACATTTCAAGTCTCCTCACCTTGCTGTCATGGTTTCAGGGGGGCTAGACCCCCTGAACTAATTATAAACTAATGGAAAACTCAAAGGGCAGCACTTTTCAAAGCTTTTCTTCTCCTCTGCTGGAAGAAGATGGTTATCCATCTCTCTTAAATTTCCCTGGTTCTTTCTCTTTGAAAAAAAAAAAAAAGTAATTTTAAGGCAACTATGTTTGATGGGGTAACCTCATTGCCTAAAAAGATAGGAATGTTTTTTCTAGAAAAAATTGACTAGCCAATGAGAATGCTACTCTCACATTGACAAGTACAAAATTACTCTCAAAATGAGAAATTTGTTGTTTTTACTCCTTTCAGTAACTTTGCAACAAAATTATCAATAAGAGTAATTCAAGCCCACACCAATTTAGAAATGAACCTTCAAAGTCATAGTACTTTTGAAAGAGATATAGCACAGGAGAGGTGAGAGATGATAATTAACCTAGCTTGCATCTGGAATTCACTAGCAATGTAGCACTGATCTAATTACTTTTGGTTTTGTCATGGAGTTATAATAAAAATTAAATATGTGCATAAATTACTTCTCATAGTCCCTGGTACACAATACCCATTAAGTATTACTTGCCTTTTTTAATATGTCACAATATTCTGTAAAAGTAAAAATTAGAAGTAAATCAATTAGGAAAATTGTAAATAAGTTATGGTTCATCAACTTGATGGAAAGCCATGTATTTCCATAGCCACAGGCAACAGTGTGGTGAGAGCCAGAGGGCAAGGGGGGTGGAGGTAGGTGGATGTGGGTGGATGTGGGCAATGGTGACATAAAGTCACTTTGCTTGGGGCAATGGGTACATAACAGTGTACAGATGATGTTTTATTGAGTTTGAATTTGAAACCTTTACAGTTTTTGTGAACCAATATCACCCCAAGAATGCAATTTAATCAAGTAAAATAAAAATAAAACTATGTATTTTGTTGCATTACATGCATATTACACAGATACATAGAAAAAATAAATATAGAGGCCTGGTGCATGAAATTTATGCACAAGTAGGGTCCTTAAGCCAGACCAGCAATCAGGGCCAATGGGGACCTTCCGACTGCCAGCCAAGGCCTTCCTTCCAGCTGCTAGCCAGGGCCTCCCTTCTCTGGCTGCTGGCTGCTGGCCGGGGCCTTCCTTTGTTCCATGCCATCCCCTGGTGGTCAACACACATCACAGCAAGTGATCGAACTCCTGAGGGGACACTTTGCATATTATACTTTTATATATATGGATATTCACTGCAAAAATAAGTTTCCTATCTAAAATATAGCTAGCTATATTTTTTAAGTTTATATAGAAACTACTAGAGGCCCAGTGCACAAAGTTTGTGCATGGGAGGGTATGTCCCTCAGCCTAGCCTGCACCCTCTCCAATCTGGGTCCCCTTAAGGAATGTCCGACTGCCTGTTTAGGCCCAATCCCAGTAGGATCGAACCTAAACAGGCAGTCAGACATCCTTCTTACAATCCAGGACTGCTGGCTCCCAACTACTCGCCTGCCTGCCTTCCTGATTGCCCCCTAACCACTCCCCTGCCAGCCTGATTGATTCCTAACTGCTCTCCTATCAGCCTGATTGCCCCTAACTGCCCAACTTAGCCAGCCTGGTCACCTCTAACTGCCCTTCCGTGCAGGCCCGATCACCCCCAACTGCCCTCCCCTGCTGGCTATCTTGTGGTGGCCATCTTGTGTCAATATGGGGGCAGCCATCTTGTGTGTTGGAGTGATAGTCAATTTGCATATTACTCTTTTATTAGATAGGATAGAGGCCTGGTGCATGGGTGGGGGCTGGCTGGTTTACCCTTAAGTGAGTCCCGGATCAGAGTGGAGGTTCCCTTGGGGCATGGAGCAGCCTGGGCAAGGGGCCTGTGGTGGTTTGCAGGATGGCCACGACCCCAGTGACCCAAGTGGAGGCCCTGGTATCTGGGATTTATTTATCTTCTATAATTGAAACTTTGTAGCTTTGAGCAGAGGCCAGGGCAGGCCAGAGTGGGCAGGAAGCTTGGCTTCTTCCGTTGCTGGGGTAACCCAAACCTCCTACTTGCTCTGTGGTCACAGCCATCTTGGTTTGGTCAATTTGCATACTCACTCCTGATTGGCTGGTGGGCTTGGCTGGTGGGCGTAGTGGGGGTACAATCAATTTGCATGTTTATGACAAAAATAGATTGTAACTACTAAATCCTATTTATATATAATATCATCAGCTTACTTTTCTATAATGCATTATTAAAATGATAGATTAAATACACCAACAAATTGTTCCCAATTTGACTTAAGTAAGATTTGAGGGAAAATTTTAGTGAAGCTATTATGACAAATGATCTTTTTACCTATAATCTGAAATCTATAGTTCTCCAGTAACCCAACCTTAGTGGAAATAGCTTTAGACTAAGAACAAGAACACGAGACCCACATTTGTCATTGTTTTACCCACAACCTTGCATAAGGGTTTACTTGTCTGTGCTTCATTGTCTTCATATTTAAAATAAGGAAATTCTAATCTTAGCTCTAACCTTTTTCCTATTTCATGAAGCCCTGGGGAAACTAGTGTTGAGTAAAATGTAAAGTAGTTGGAGCCTCTTCTAATAACTGACATAATTTTAAAAAGATATTATTGATTTGGACAGTAAAGAACAGCCTCCAGGCAAATCCTGCAAGGTGCTTCGACAGACATGCAACCCATCTTCCTGTTGGCACAGTCCACGCCTGGCAGGTCTATCTCATTCCTTACAGGAAGGAATAGGTTCTTCATTGTGTTTCCAAAGTCAGTAAGCTTTTACAAAACTAAGTAATTGACATTTTTCTCATTTCTGGGATCAAATTTTCATAAATCATTCAACCTGGATAAACTGAGAATGTGGTTGATCTAGTAATTGTTGAAATATAGTAAAGACATTGCAAAACATGATATTTAAGTATTTCCTCCTATCCTCTTCCCTTAGCAGTTTGTACCAGTTTGAAATGGGAAAAGTCCTAATGCATAAAAAGGAAACAAAAGTAAGAGGCCTGTCTGTGAAGGAGAAGCCAAAAGAACCACACACAGATTCATCTCAGTAATTTGTGATTCCGCCAATTCAGAATTTGTAGTGATAATAATAACTATGCAGAATAGAGCTTACTTTTATATTACAAGGAAGTTTTTTAATATTGCAGATGATTTTGTGGAGGAGGTACATATTTAACCAACTTGGAAGTAATGATTTCCTGACTTTTTACAATATACGTGGAGATATGCTCTTAATGTCTTCTCAAGATTCCTACTGGCAGCTATTTGTCAACAGTTAATTCAAGTTCTATCATCTCTTAACAATGCACTTCAAATTCCATACTGACATTTCCCCCTCCTCCACAACTCAACTGAGTGAAACTTCGTCTGTATTAAAGGACTTATGTAATTCTATGAACCATAATATCCGGAGTATATAGGATAGCATTCGTTTTGGTCAGTAGTCCAACTTACACAAACTGGTCTGTGAATCTGTGAATAGAGTGAGTTGTCCAGAGAATCTTCTAGTTCAAGTATTTGCACCAATAGGCTGTGAATGTATAAAACGTATGTATAGCTTATATTTGAGAAATTTGTAGTAACAAAATGTAGGACAAATTTGCACGTTCACTCTAAGATCATTACTACATCTCTCAAAGCAAAGATTTTTGATGCATCACATTCTTTCATTCCATATTTGTGTTTTCGAACAGGACTCGATATATGCAGAATCATCCAAAAACCTTGAGCTGGTTTTCAGTGTTGGATGCAGCGGACGAGTCTCTGAACCAGTGTATACAACACTAAGAATGCTCTCATGCCTTTAGTGTCTAGCTCTGTACTGGGTTTATTTGCAAAGAACCCTCATGAATGGGCCCATATAAATGAGGCTGCTGCTCCCATAAAAATGAGACAAGCTGGAGCAGATTAGACTACGTTGCTCAGCACTCTCTGAGAAAGGAAGATGGTATATATACGTATGGGCATGATTTTCACCTTTAATGAAGATTTCTCTGTATATAACAACAAGCAAGTTTTTAGTTCATGTTTTATACTTTCAGTAAAGAAAATAAAAGGAAAAAAAAAACACAATTAATGGTCGGATTCCATCATCTTTTGTCAAGCAAACTCTCACTGACCCACAGGAATGTGGTCTCTCTCCCCTAGAGTGGCCTAAACACACACCACAGAATGGGCTTCTGAACTTTTCCCTCTATTTTCCATATAATGGGTAAGTTTTTTTTAATCAACTGAAAATCTTCTAACTTGGACTAAAAAGCATATTTAGTCATTTCTAACCTATTTATACTTCTCAGGAATAGAAAGTTTTCAAATGTAGTGTGGAAAGTCTGTTTTTATCACCATCAAATCATTTGAATATATTTAAATTATTTTCATGCCACTGAGACATGAGGTTTTTCCCACTAGCCCCTTAAATCCTGGCTGTGTTAGATAACTCTATGAAATAGAAATTTAATGAGGAGAATAAATTAAGAATTGTACATTATATCCATGTGTCACTTATTTCGCTATGTAACAGGTGTACGATTGCTAACATTTCTGTATTGAAAAAGGTAAATCAGTTTGAAACTGCTCTCCGTTGAATGGGTCCTGCTGTCATTACATAGCAATCATTGATTCACAACCTTAACACAAATAGGTAAATGCATTGAAACGAGTACCTTATATTTTTCAGGTGCCTCGAATGCTCACATAATCTGAAGGTCTGGGTTAAAATTTGTGTTGTTGCTGTTTTTCTTGTTTGTTTGTTTTTAACTCAGATACTTGGCACATGGCACCGGTGTCTCTTGCTTACAGTAATGCTTTATTTCTCAATACGACCACCAGGATTGCTTGGTCACAGGCAGACTTGTCCCTTTTCGGCCACAACATTCCTGACAATAGCTGCACTTTCTACATTCATGTTTCCCTTTCCGCCCCTTGCTCCCAACAGGCTGGAGCGGCTGGTGGACGTCCTGAGGAAGAAGGTGGGAGCAGGGCCCGTGAGGACAGTGATCTGACTGAGAGCGGCGGTCTGGGAAGCAGTCACATCTGGTGACCAGGCTGATTCATTCAACGCTGTGTAAACACCGAAGCCTTAACTTAGCAAACAGTTGTTAGAAGTGGGACACTCCAACCACATTCCAAGCTGAGATAAAATCACATCACAAATGTTTAACCACTTTGTTGCTGACTTGAGTTATTTATCCGAATGTATTAACTGCGGACTTTTACCAATGGATGCTATAAAGTTGTAGTTTATTTGGTAACTATTTTCTGCCTCACTGTATTTAACATAACCCTTTTTACTGGGAGACCATTACAGAAACATTGTGAAGTTGGTCAGGATTATATCTTCACATATGGCCCCTTCTGAATCAAAATGCAGCAAAATAAATATTGTCTAAACCTTAATCCACTGTGTTAGGTCAAAACTTCAAATACACGCTTTTTTTTTTTTTAATATAGAGTTTATTTCTTACCTGATGAGAGAAGCTCAGACGTAAGAGTTAATAGTCTTCCTTCAATGCATGCATGTAATCTTTTAGTGTTCAAGAATATTAAGTATGGATTCTAAGAATTAAATGTATAATTCCTTTGAATAAGAGTTTGGTACATTAAAATTATCATGATTTTTGTTTCAATAAAAACAATATAGAGTACAGTATTGTTACTGTGTACTTATAAATTCAATATTTTCAACGCTTTGATGAAAAATTACCTAAACTTTATTTAAGCTGTGGAAATTGCCGAGTTTATCTAATGGACGGGGACATTTTGGCTTGAAAATCTGTCTGCCGCATGCAGGGGGCCATCCAACACGTTGCTTTTATAATAGATGATCTTAGATTACCATTTGAATTCTTGTTGTGGAGAAAGAGAATTCGATATGTATCTTACAATAAAATTATAATGTAAAAACGTATGGTCTTGGAAAAGAGAAAACCTACAATTTGGTTCTGGTTACATACTATTTTTCATTTAAGAGATAAAATAGTTATAGCATAGTCATTTCTAACCATATGAAATTATTAATAAAACTAAGATTTGTAAATATGGCTGTAGAAAAACATGTTCTTTTTTAGATTGAATAGATGAGAGGCCAATAGAAAATTACTATGTCTAGAATTGGGTGAAAAAGACAAGTAGAGAATAAATTCATGAAAATTTTTTAGGCAAGTGAAACTTTTTCTAAATTCATACACTTCTTTAATTCATCTTTAAGATTGAGGTAAATTATCTACTGTTGCCTATTTTCAAGACAAGTCAGAGTAATTTATGCACCATTCCTTCATACACCATTGGAGATTATCTGTTTGAATTCTTTTTTTCATTCTGCGGGAAAGTGTAAGGTACTTTATCACAGAGTAATGAAAGGACAATAATGCTAACATCAGTTTCTTCCTTATTTTATCCATTAAATTAACTGAGAGTTAGAATCATGTCATTGAATTTAAATTTAGAATTTTCTCACATTGTCTGTTTTTAATTATTTTTATACTATAAGAGTTAGAAAATAAAGAACAACAGGGGCTAAAATTAAGCTACCTGGATCTACTCTATAGTTCTAAAGAGAATTACAGCCTCTCATAGGCCAGGGACTATAAAAATAGAGAAATTTTAAATAATTGAGCCATGCATAGAGTCTTGTCCCGAGGCCCTCATCAAAACATATAATAGCTTGCCGAAACCGGTTTGGCTCAATGGATAGAGCGTCGGCTTGGGGACTGAAGGGTCCCGGGTTCGATTCCAGTCAAGGGCATGTACCTTGGTTGCGGGCATATCCCCGATAGGGGGTGTGCAAGAGGCAGCTGATCGATGACTCTCATCAATGTTTCTAACTATCTCTCTCCCTTCCTCTCTGTACAAAATCAATAAAATATTTTTAAAAAATTCTCTTAGAAAAAAAAAAAAAACATAATAGCTTAATGTGTGAAGGAACAAGTCATGGAGGTAAGTAAAGAGAAAAAAATCTTTGTCACAAAATTGTCCATTCCTGAATCCTCTTCAGATGAATCACAAAGAAACTTGAATTTTTAATTTCGTCCTAAAGAATAGACAAGTCTTCCTTGAATTATTTTGCTTGGGGTTTTCTAAAACACAAAGTGTAGCAAAAAGACATTTTCGAATTTTCAAACATTTTTCTATACCTAAATGACCAGATTAGAACAAGCAATTTCTGTAATCAATATTCAGAGCTTTTACAGAATTTGATATTATAAATTTAAATTTATAAAACAATTCAAACATCTACTATTATTCAATGTAGGTAATCACCCCAAAATATCACACATCCCCTTGAAAATGATTGTCTACAAAATTACGCATGCCAAGTATTATAGTCAAATATTATCATTAATTGATTTCTTGTACTTAAAAAATATTCACCAACAATGATTCAAATTGTCTATTTTTTTATGAAGGAATGACCTTATTCACTGAAGATCTGTTCTCTACATATTCAATAGTAAAGCAACTTAAGAAGTATTTGAAGATATCCTGAGATGTTTCTTTGAGTTTGCTTTAAACATCAAGTCTAATCCCTACTATAACATGATAAATCATTTCTTGGAAAAATAAGTAGTTCAGGAGAAAATCAGGAAAGATAACACTAACATGCATAGCACTTAATTTTTTTTTTGTATTTATATTTTTATTCTTTCAACCAAATAATAATAATAATAATAATAATAATAATAATAAATTATATGTATGAGCCACATAATAATGCTGCTGCTAATTTTAGTATTATTGTTATTATTATTACATACATTTTCCAGATGATGAAACAGTCCCAGAGAGGCTAGGAACTTGCCAAGGACTAGCTAGGGTTTACAACTGAGATCTTATAAATAAAACTCCATGCAAACCATAGGTCACCAAACCCTTCAAAATTAAAAAAAAAAAAAAGATTTAAAATCTTACAACCTCTGTTATTGTGCCATTTCTTTTAAACACTTATGTATGAATTCTGTAAAATCAAGATTGTACACATTTTGTGTGTGTGTGTGTGTGTTAATTCACACCGATAATATTTTTCTACTGATTTTTAGAGAGAATGGAATGGTGGTGGTGTTGGGGGGGTGGGGGGTGTTGGTATGGAGACAGGGAGAGATAAACATCAATGTAGAGAGACATATGGAATGGTTGCCTCCCAAACACTGGAGATTGAGCCTTCAACCAAGGCTCAATCAAACCCAAGACCCTTCAGTCCTTGGGCTGGTACCCTATCCACTGAGGCAAACTGGCTGGGGCTGTATGCATTTCTTTCAATGAAGAACAAAAATGTGAATTGAACTGCACTTGTATATAGATAGCATCATAGCATTGCTGCCTCTCATAGGGTTATAGTAGCAGCATGCTTTGTCTTAGCCTTCACTAATTAGGAATGTTGTGACAATTCATTATTAATGAAAAATAACCTTGAGTTGCTTTTTGCTATTTTAATTTGGCCTATGCTAAAACCTGACATTGTAGTTTTATCAAAAGGAAGTCTAAACTTCAAGCAAGGCTTACTCTACCTACCTGAGCAACTGGCAAAGATAAAACTAGTTATAGGCAAATTGTTAGCAAAGTTATTGGTTATAAGCAAGGTAAAAGCAGTTATAGTGGAGTCAATTAATTTTAGTATGAGAAAATTTAATTCTACTTTTATAAATAAGCCATATGTTAGAATTATTTAAAATATTTTACCTAATGAAATATTGTCCTTTCTCAATAAGAAAATTCCTTATGTAAAAAAAACCTGAAGAATCTTCTTATTAGATCACTTACTGACAGAATTAGGTTGTTTTAAAGGGGTTTTCTTTCATGCAAAAACAGGTTGGAATATTAAAAATTTGTTGTTTTTATATTAGATTTAGTTGCATAGAAAAGCATTTTTATGTGGAGTATTTTTAAAGATCATAATTATTTTTAAAGTTCCTATTTTGGTAAAATGTTCATGATTAATGAGTCATATAATAATAAAATAGCTATGGCTTACACATATTCTCTACTCATATACGTTTTGTATGGAACACGAATTTTTCATAAGACAATATTATACTGTTGATAACTATTTTGACAGCTAGAGGCCCAATGCAGCTGAAACCGGTTTGGCTCAGTGGATAGGAGCATCAGCCTGCGGACTGAAAGGTCCCGGGTTCAATTCCAGTCAAGGGCATGTACCTTGGTTGTGGGCACATCCCCAGTAGGGGGTGTGCAAGAGGCAGCTGATCAATGACTCTCTCTCATCGATGTTTCTAACTCTCTCTTCCTCTCTCTTCCTCTCTGTAATAAATCAGTAAAATATATCTAAAAAAAAGTAGAGGCCCAATGCATGAAATTCATGCAAGAGCAGGCCTTTTTTCCCCTGGCTGCCAGCACCAGCTTTCCTCTGGCACCCGGGACCTGGGCTTCCCTTCCGCCCCAGCTTTGTCCGAAAGGATGTCTGGAATGATATCTGGTCTAATTAGCATATTATGCTCTTATTATTATAGATTAAACTATCTACTTATATCTATATACATATAAAAGATGTATCTTTTTTTAATATATTCTATTGCACAGAGAGGAAGGGAGAGGGACAGAAAGTTAGTTAGAAACATTGTTGAGAGAAACATCGATCAGCCTCCTCCTGCACACCCCCTACTGGGGCACACCCACAACCAAGGTACATGCCCTTGACCAGAACTGAACCTGGGACCCTTGAGTCCTCAGGCTGACGCTCTATCCACTGGACCAAACCTGTGAGGGCAAGATGTATCTTTATACATGGATATATACCACATGTATACATCTATATACATCGGTATATACACACAGATACATACAGAAAAGTAGTTTGCCTTTTATAAATATTGATTTGCAAGACAACTGCTAGGCTCCAGTGATTTCAGTATTTTGTCCATGTTTTATTAGAAATGCACATGGTTTCTGAGGTTTTTAAACAAATACATGGGATGGTTGAAAGATTTGTATTGCTCATGCTTAGCTAAATATGTCATCTCTAGAAAAGATGGAGTTTATTTTGGCTCTG